TTTTCTTGGTTGCATTGAAGAACTTGAAGCTGTTCTAGTTTGATATCACTCATTATGCTTGAGTTTTGATTTTCTTATTCTTGTTCGGGGACGAACAAGGGTTTAAGTTTGAGGGAGTGATGTTCATCATTATTTTCATGCATTATGAGTGATATAGTGTGATGTTTGACCGTGTTTATTGTGGGATTGCGCACCATTTCGTTTGATTTATTAATCTATGATGGAGGTATAGTTGTCGTTGGTTTTGCAGGAAATATGCCCGAAAAAGCGTTAAAGATGGAATCGGGACAAAAAACGGCAAAAATAGGGTGCAGTCAGTGTCACACGACTCGTGTGGTATGTGACACGAGTCGTGTGGGGTGAGAAGAATCGAGCTTTTGTGTCAATTTGGTACGGCCTTCCCACACGAGTCGTGTGGCACATGACACGAGTCGTGTGGGCTCACACGACTCGTGTGAGGACTCGTGTGGTGTACTCGTGTGAGTCTGGGAGCGGGGCAGAAATTTGAAGAAAAGTCACACGACTCGTGTGGCTTGTGACACGACTCGTGTGACGCGCAGACAGTCCAGCGGGAATTAGGAAACCTACGCGATTTTGTCCCTTTTTCAAGCCATATTTACCCTACAGTATATAAGGAACATAGGGAGAACCTAATTTTCAGACTTTGGACACCATTGGAGGCCTAGGGAAAGCACGAAACACACGAGGGATTCGAGGAAGTCAAGATTGAAGATCCGGGAACTAACGGAAACAATAGTTCTTCTTTCTTTTCTCTTTTTCTTCTTCATTGAACTCATGGATTTATTTATTTTGAGTATTGAGAATATGTTTAGTAGCTAAATCTCTTTGAGATTCTAGGATTTGCGAGTACTCGGATTATTTTATGAAGTGATTTTGTTTATTCATTCCGGTCTATCTTTCGTTTATCGATTTCTTGTGCTTATTATTATTGTGTGAGTAGACGGCCGCTATGAATGCATATTTGTAATTGATTTGAGACCGAGAGGAGATAATTGATTGCTAGAATTGGGAAATTCATAACGTAAGAGGCTAAACAGACCGAGAGGTTGATAGGATCTTGCGAGGGAACTAGAATCTTAGGAGTTTATGGGAGTTAGTTGTTCATCTTGAGACCGAGAGGAGATAGATAGCAATTAATATCTACGATTTGCTTGTTCGAGAGAAAGGTTGAAATCACTTTAGCGATTATCCCTACGATTGGTAGAATTAAATAAGGTTTGAATGAATAAGAAAACTTTGCTAGAATAATCCCGAGGAAAGCATAGCCTAGAATCTATTTTCTCATACTTGATTTATTTAGAATAAGCCTTCATTAGTGTTAGAATTTATTTTTGCATTCATTCATTAGTTTAGAATAAAAACTCCAATCAAATTTGCATTTGTCTAGATAATATTTAATCGTCTATATTTTGGTACTTAATTAGTTTTACAACAGTCTCTGTGGAATACGACCTTGCTCGCCGCTTTCTGCAGCTACTCCGTACACTTGCGGGTAGTAAAATTATTTTGCGAACAACAGTGTGGGATACACTCGATTCCGTCAATAGAACAAATAAACCTTTCTTGCGTTTGAGAGCAGACCGAATAGTTGAAGAGAATCACCAACGGGAGAACTGGAATGCATTCCACATACTGTTTCATGATGAACAGGTAAAAAAATTTTCATATAATTTCAAAATATGAAATATTTATAAATTTATATAATTTTAACAAATATCTTGTTTCATATTTACACATTTATATTGTAGGGTTCATTCATAAGAGGCATAATCCGTTCTAAACATATGAGAGCATTTCGAGGTATACTGAAGGAAAACGAGGTGCATGCAATAAACAACTATGTCGTCGAATTTAATCATGGCAAGAAAGATATAATAACTAACAAGTGGAGACTTGTGCTTCATGGAAGAACCCGTTTTATCAAATACAGCGGGATCTTTCCTCAAAATGGTGATATTTTCCCTCAACAATATCAAGGAGCGGGAGATATTTAGATTATTTAGGGTTTTGATTATTATGAATTTTATTTTCATTCCATGTCGCTCAATCAAGAATTTTCTAAGAAATTTCAGTGTTATTATTTTCGTATATATAAAAAGAATTACCATTTATTAAAAATAGTAACAAAATTTTAGCAAACATTTAATGCATACTATTTTTAGAAATTTTTTAAATATATGCATTAATTTATTCCATTTACATGTTTTGAAATAAAATAAAATTAAATATAATCAAATAATTACTTAAATAAATTTATTAATATCTGCAGTATTTTATTGATATTTATTATAATAAATTACAAAATTAATTTTCGTGATTCATGTTTATTAATATTTGTAATACTTTCATTGATATTCATTTTAATAAATTACAAGATTGATTTATGTGATCCGTGTTGATAATATTTTGGTCAAGATAATATTACACCATATTTTAAGTTTTAACCATAATATTAGTTTTTTATTCACAAATATTCAATTTTTATCCATAAATATTTATGGAAGATCGTAGCAGGTTAGATAGAATTTTTTCCAAGTAATCAGACAAAATCAAGTTGGTGAATCAATTTTTGCCAATAAATTTGTTTCTTAAGCTTTATTTTGTTAAATATAAAAAATAAATCGTTCTTCAAATTAATATAATTACCATTTAAGAGATAATGACCAGATATAATAAATAATTTTACTAATGGTACAAAATTAAATTGAAACATATTAACTATAGTTTAAAATTTATTTGTATATTATTGGCACCCATTATTATATTTTTTCATTTTTTTTTATGTTGATTTATTTCTATAATTAAATTATTGTAAAATATATTTTCATTGTTGAGTACGCGAAATAAACCATAAATCTTTATAATGCGAATTAGAAAAATCTTGATCATAGAGGGGCAAGTTTTTGGGATTTTCTAAATCAAAGTTGTTTAATTTGTATACAAAATTAAATTCTAAAAAAACATGTGTATATTTTGTAAAATATTTATATACTATTTAATACTAAATTTATTTACATATTTTAAATTGATTACATAAATAAATAATACCAACGTGCATTAAATATTTCTTATTACATAAAATAAAAATAAAAGAAGACGTACAACTTCTACACCTTTATAAATGCTAATGACATTATATGACATAAAGTGTATAATAAAATAATTATTAAGTATTATATAGTGAACAAGAATAAAATTCTTGACTGGAAGGGACACCAAAGGCCGGAAAATTGTTATTCTCTTTTATATCAAAGAATAAATATATATATACTAAAATTAAATTTAAATTAGGGTAAATGTGTTAGTAAAATAATATATTAATTATTTTAATATTTTGACTAAAAAAATAACGTTGATTAAAAGAGGTGGAAAATATATTATAACCTTATTGTTATTATATTTAACGCTGGTTAAAAGAGATGAAAAATAGATGATAATCATATTGCTTTATATACTTAGACGGACAAATTAAGAATGTGAAAATAACTCATTTAATTTTTTGTCCCATGCATCGCACGAGGTAGGTACTAAGAAAATATGTAAAGAGAATCGCAACTATCCGATGGATTTGATGAGGATCCATTGTTGCATATTGCAATTCATTAAACAAAATACAAATTTTGTGTAGGCAGCCCAATCCTTAGGTATATTTGTGAAAATAATAGGTTTGTCTCTTCCTAGTGGTCTAATGAGTAGTGTTCACTTAACCACGGTGGGCATACTAACACATGTTAATATGCCCACTGCTTATGTGGCATGCACATTGGTTATGTATTTTTTTGAGCATATTAACATCACATTGTGTGTACATGCCACATAAGCGGTGGACATATTAATATGTGCCAACCGTGGGTAGGAGAACATTATTCATTACCTAACATGAAACCTACATCAACTTAATACAGGTGTAAGACTAATTCATAATTTTGAAATATGTGGTATAATTTTACAATTAGAATATACTTTGGGCAATTTCACAATCACAATCAAATTTAAGATAAAAACAACACCTTCAAGGCAAATTCAACCAACACTAAGTCCCGAGCTGTTGGAACACACGTCCTTACACATATAAACCTTACACATATAAGTGTTGGCGAGTGTTTATCTGCAAGTTCAAAACTTGCCAACACCAATAGGGCGAAATCCTATCCTACACTTACATGCGTTGGTGAGCGTTTATCTGAAGGTTCGAAACTTGTCCACACCGGTAGGGCAAAATCCTTGACATTCAGACAACTCGGACAAATTGCTTAAATTTCGATGGAGCTCTCTTGACTTGCATGACAAACATTCAGAAACTAGAATCACCTACACACGAACTCATGTTGTGTTTGTTTATTAATAAACTCAATTTAATTTTAACTCAACCCCACTATCATCAATATAACAAAGTAATAACAATCGATCATCCTCACACATTACATCAATTTTAATTCATTATTCATTTACTTACATAATTTTAACTAATCATCACTTCACATCATCCCTCTCATAGTTTTATATCAAATCGATTTTAATTATTTTATTTAAATATTATTTTAATATCACCTCAAAATATCGCTAACAAATAATCATACCACCTTTTTTAAAATTATATCTGAAAAAAATAAAATAAAAAAACTAAACTGTTTTTTTTATCAAATATATTTATATCCAAGCACACTCTCAAACACTGACGATTACCTGCGATTTCCATGTTTCGATCCATGCCACATCAGTTGGTCGTTTTCCGTTGCAACATTGTTCGTGAGAATATGAAATATGAAACAGACCACCCTCCTTAGTGTCACTAATGACAATGCTTAGGGTAATAAACCAAAACTACTACTACATACAGAATGATAGTGCAACAAACTCAGAGTCCGTGTCTAACGTCAAAGCTCGAAATGGAGAAGAATAAAGAAAGAAAGGAAAAGGAATGGAAATTATCCCCAACTGTATATCAAGATCAACAAAGTCCAATAAAGATAGCAAAGCTTTGTACCAAGCTAATCATCATCAGAAGAAACAATATCTTCTGCTTCTTCCACTTGTATGCAGCTTCCAAGATTTTGAGGTTTGTAGTCTGAGTCTCTTCAGGGAAAAGACAATCAATAAACTCCTTATACCTGCACAGGTTATGGCAATGAAATTTTAAACATGTTAATGAGTTTTCACATGCTCCGAGAAGCAGTGGCGGAGCCAGGATGAAAATTTACGTATGGCGAACCAAAATTTTCAGTGGCGTAGCCATGATTAGCAGCTTCACCAAAATGAAATAAATCAATAATAAACGAAATTTACAGCAAACTCATATGCCAAATTTACAGAAATTAACAATTTTTTTTTTTTACCAAAACAACATAGCAAAATAACGTACCGATCTGAACCCTTCACACAGCAAAACATTGCGCTAAACCCCATGGGATCTTTTCAACACCCCACGAAGCAAAATCTCGTCTTTGTCCGAATTTTCACCACTGTTTATTTAATTATTTATGCTCAGCCGCAGGCGCCATGAAAATCCCATCATCTTCGCTGAAAAAGGCCGCTCATTTTTTTCTAAAATTAAAGGCAACTAGCAAAATTAAAGTATTCAAATAATGTGAAGGCAAGAAAAAGAAACTTGAACACTTCAATTGTCGTTCACAGAAGGGCCCTAGTGACGAATGCAGATATTTTGCCAGTTTGAATTAAATGGACCTCGAGAAGATGAGCTCGTCAAACATTAGAGAGCATGGCCGTCTCCAGAAATTTGGAGGCCCCAGACAATTTTTGTAAGGGTGGCCCATAATTCTAGCACAATTTTAGTAGCAGTTTTTCTATAAAATCAGATGGTTGGTTCTCTTATAGAACAAACCATCTGGTTCCCTAGCAAAATTGAGTTTAGTAGGACCAAACACTTTCACTTTTACTACAAGAGCGGTAGGTTTTATGTACCTATCCATCAATCCGACGAGAGATTTTGTTAATTTCTCTTCCTTTTTTTTTTTTCTTTTTTTCGAACTTCTCGATTCGAATTTGCATTTGCCCATCATAACTTGTCTACAAATCTAATCATAAAATGATTGAATATTATATGAATAAAATTAAAATGAGAAGAGGAAAATTAAAATTAAACTCACTGTTGTAAAATTAAACCTCAAGAAAAAAATAAAAAGAAAAAACTCAAATTCCTCAACCATACGTTTGAGTTAATAACAAATATGAACTTCAGCCAACAGCAAACTCCATGAAAGATCTCATTATTCCCCATATACTGAACCCCTAATTCTTAGCTACCCAGCTGCCAAAACAAATCAAATTCATCAAAAAGCTTCCCAGTTTTTCCCCTCGACTTTTAAGAGCAAAGAGTTCAGCTTCGAGCAATTCAAGCCAATAACACGTCTTTCCTTCACTAATATGACCGTAAGAAGCCAAGAAGGGGAAAAACTTTTAGAACAAAAAATTAGGGTCTCGAAGACTCACGAATTTGGGCGAAATCAGCAGAACCCTTATGAACTCTCCGGCAACCTCCGTCAAGATTCCGATCGATCCTCGTCTGGACACTCACAGAACTGGGGGGTGGGGGGGTGTTCGCCGGCGGCCAGGTATGGCGGCCGCCATGCCTCGCCATACTGGTGGCTCCGCCACTGCCGAGAAGGGAACACCAAAAATACCAATACAACTCCACCATTAACAGTTGCAAGAGAAAATCCATGAAATGGGATGTGAATCTTGCAGAAATATCCTTCGATCGGGGATTAAAACAAACTTGAGCATGAGACTAAGGCTATGTTTGGTAAACCTATTTGATAAACTAGCTTATAGCTTTTAAGTGAGTTTCTAACTTATAACTGATAGCTTAGCTTATGACTTACGAGTTATGACTGAAAAGCTAGCTTATATGATAAAAGTGTTTGGTAAAATTAGCTGATAAGCTAGCTAAAATAAAAATTTCAATTGGCTTATTTGAAAGGCTACCCAAAAAAGCTAATGAGATAAGCTCGGATTTTTTAAAGACGCTTGTCCTATCAAACCAAGCTACAAGAAACTTATAAGCTAATCAAATAAGCTATAAATTAAACTTATATGCTTACCAAACACAGGCTAACACTTGAATTCTTATTTTGGTCAAACTCATACACGAGAGAATCACAATTGCAGGTAACGAAGGCCAAATGAAATATAGACATGTTAAGGTAGCATGATTTTATATATTTAATTTTATATTTTGAGGCATAACAAAGAAAAGAGGACCATAGGAAAAGAATGCATACCCAGCTGGACCATCCTCAGTTTCTATATGCCGTCTCTTTTTAAGTTTCTTCGGCAACTTAACTCTAACCAAGTCAACATCACCAAGATCGCCAAAGCTGCTTTCCATGTTCAACCACTCTTCCAAGAGAATGGCCCTTTCCTCTTTCAATTCAGGGGCAGAATTTCGGGAATAGCTAAGGGCTCTTTCAAAAACAGCTGGTAAACCGTGAAAATTGTTAAGATTACTCTGGCGATCAATTAGACCACACTAGAGAATGAGAAGGAACGTGACATCTGTAGGATTTTAGTTTCTTACATCTGGCACATTGTAGACACTTTTTCTTCTGCTCGCAGTCATTTTCAGACAACTTTGATTCTTGAAGCCCCTGTCCCTTAGCAGATGCCTCAAACTTGGCGTAACTGATCCACACCTTCAAATGTTTTGTATGGTCCAAAAGCCTCTCATAAAGTGTCCTAGTTGGCTAGTTCTCTCAAATTCAAATTCAGATATTTCAAAATCAATATATGCCTGTAAAAAATCAGAGTCAGTACACAGTTAGACTATCGATTTCACGGTAAAGAAATAGAGTTACGAAATGAAAAATCTCCAGATATTGATATAAATAGATGAAGTCCTACTTGGCAAAGGCTGCACCCCTATGCACGTGGAAGAAAAAGCGTGCCGATAATAATCTGAGTAAATAATAACACTATGGCATTTACACTCGAGGCATGACCATGCAAGAGTACACAAGACAACCAGAAATCAATGAATGTATGTTTCCAGTTAAGAAGTATACAAACAAATTTTACTACGCATTTCAATTGAATGAAAAAATTGTTAACATTTTGCACAACATAATACTAAATTTGCTAATGATGTGAGCAAGCTCAAACCAAGTGTTTGCAGAACCTAGTTACCTTCCACAAAAGCTCTGGCATGTCCAACGCAGGCTGGTAAATTGCAAGCTTAAAAAGAGCTCTGGCTCTTTCAGTCTCGGCCAAGGATCTCTCCAGCTCAGCAGACTTGCTCCTGCATAGCAGTTCCCCGGTGACCACTCTAAATACTTCTCATACAATTTTCTGCACCGTTCTATATTACCAAGCTGCAGCTCTATCTCAATGTACTTCTTAAATATCTGTTTGAAAACAATCAGTTTCGAGCTAAGTTAGGATTAGATGGGAAAAAAAGTTCAACTGAAAAAGCGCTATGAATCAACTCCATAATACCTTATCCTTGGGAGCCATGCCTACTGCTGATCCCAAAATTCACCGCGCACGATCAATTTTTAATTGGCGTATTTCAAACTGAGCTGCCATCAGCCAAATCTTCGCAAATGAAAATTTTCCATGAGGTATCATCTTCAGAAACAAGCTGTTGAATTTTGAGGTGATTCAAAATAGCCCGGTCTGAATAAATTTTCTATCTGTAAAATATCAACTATGACACAATCAAGTAACTAAGAACACAAATTGAAAGAAATGATGGTAAAAAGTCCCTGAATGGCTAACCACATAATAGTACGACAGCACTACATATGGTTATCTTTACTGCACCTCTGAAAAAATAGACAATCTGCATTTACCAAACTTGCATGTACAAATTTGTATTTACAGTGGTGATAAGAGCAATGCCTGATGAAAAACGAGTCTGAATGCATTTACTTTCATCATTGTCAAATGCCCAAAGACCACCCAACCCCCCACCCGAAAAAAAAAAAAGTAAAACAATACAAGATAGAAGGCAAAGACATTTGAACCATGTAGATTTGCACAAAAGAGGCCTATTACTATTTCATACTCGTTTTCATTCATTTCAAACACATCCAGGCTGTAGTGAGCCATGACGAGCCTAGCATTATAAAAATTAAAACTCAAATTAGATCAGCCAATCTGATCAGTACCCAATCCGGACTCTGCATATGTATATTTTTGTACTATATATCTAACATCAGTATATAAAAATATTTTTAGTACACTACGTGATCCTCATATCAACTATGCTAGCGATTCCCATTATAAGAAGACTCTTTAGTATCGCAAAACTGCACAAAAAATACCCTCATGATAAATACTTGAATCCAAAGGTCGAGGATATGAGAACCTTAGTGGTGGGTCGAGTAAACAACTACTCCTTCAAAGAGAAAGTACATTTTAGACCTCAGTGGCAGGTTGTGCGGACACACACTTAAAATCGTGCTGTGGTGTAACGGTGAATGATTGCAGTAGCTGGTCAATTAGAAAAGGTAATCTAATGGTGTTAAGGTGAGGACTATTATAATGAGGTGACATCAGTGTCAGATCAAATAGTTTATGTTCTTACTTAAACATGTGGATTTTGTAAACAAGCTAGACAGGGTGTAACGCTTGGTTAAACTTCGGTCACACTTGGTAAAATTTTCAAGGAGCAAAAATTTCAAAAGCATTAGACACAAACATACAATCCATTTAACAAAGTACAAAATGTTGTTGTTTCAAAAAGGCAGTAGAACAAATTACAACATCTTGGAAGGAAGAGTGACATTAGTATCAGTGTCGGAGGGATTAGCTCGAGAGGCCTCGCCGCCTGCTGGGTGTGAGCTCGATGCCCCTGCTGGATTGGTCGAAGAATCTGCACCATCCAGAACCACTAGGGTTCCTTCAGGAGTTATTATTGGCTGGACCACTATAGGGGTGACAGGAGGAACAATTTTATCCACAAGGCCACCTCGGAGCAAACACTTCCCAAAGGTCTCGTTCCACCAGACATGCCCCAAGGGATGAGTTGGATCGCCCTCAAAACCAGTGGGGCAGTTAGGCAGTTTCTTAATAAGGGCCTCGACATCAACCTCGCCAGTAAAGCCTTGGGCCTCGACTTGGGCATACACCTCGTCTATAGCAGTTTGCGTGAACTCTTCTGCCGCTGGAACAAGTTTCTCCAGGAATCGAGGTGAGCGGCAGAAGTCTTCGACGACCTGTTGTCGGTAGGATTCGAGGAAGGCCTCACCGACCTTCGCTCTGAAGAAGAATTGTCTGCCCTCCAAGAGAGCTCGAGTGACGGTTTGATCAATTGCCTTGTCGAGCTTCTCCTCGATTTCCGTTTGACGAGCCTTGGCCTGTGCAAGCTCGTCCTCCTTGGCCCTCATCTCATCCTGGTGGCAACGGTCGCGTTTGGACAGCTCGAGCGTCAGCTCGACCTTAAGCTCGTTGAGCCAGTTCACTTCACCCACCAAGTCCTTGTTCGCGGCTTCAAGGTCTTGGATGGATGGGCCCGATCCTCCAACGTCCTTGTCGAGGATTGACACGACGGCAGCAAGGAACTGGAAGTAAAAGAGAAATTAATAACTAACATTGAAGAAGTATCAAACAACACTAAGACACAAGGATGAAGAGTTGTACTTGCGCCAAACTCTTAGCCGCAGTGTCTGCTCGACCTGTTCGGTCAAGGCCCCATCTATGAGTCTCAGCCTCAGGAATGCACTTCATGAGGTGAGAAGTGATCGTGCCCCCTTGAGAGTTAGAGAAAAAAGATGGAATAGCCTCGACCGGAGTGGTCGAGGAGGGTATGTGCATTTCCTCGACCTGATGAAGGGGGAGGTCGACGGAGACCCCCGCTTGGGGTGTGATCGAGGAAGGGACGTCTTTGGGAGTCACCACCTCAGTGCGATGAGTACGCGCCTGCTTTTTTGGCAGAGACTCCTGTTTGGTGTGCCGTCGTTTTTTGCCAACCAATGACACGGGCTCCTTAGGTCGAGGGCACTTAGGGTCCTTTTGTTGGGACTCGGAGCGCCCTTGGGGAGGGGAACCAGTTTTTTTTCCCTCCGAGCCTGAGGAGTGAGGCCCCTTTAGCTTAAACAGTCCCTCTGCAATAAACCAAGAAAAACAAACATTAGCATAAAGTTACAATCAACGCACACGATAAGGTTGCTGGGTACCAATTTGATCGTTGGTTAGACGTGCACAACGTCGAGGAGATAGGCTACAGTGGGACAAAAGTGGCTTGTTCCCCAGGAGGATCCCGAAAGAAACTTGGAATTTATTCCATTCGACGACTCTGAGCTCGAAGACGGTCGAAGAAGGCGGTAGAGGCAACCGGCAGGTAAAACTCTCAAGGCAGGTTAGGTTGAGGGGAAGAGGAGATGCAGGTCGAACAAAGAAATATCGTGTTTTCCACTTCGGAATATTAGAAGTCATAGTGTTTATAAAGTGAGCCCCATTGTGGGCTTGCAGGTATAAGGTGCCTCTTTGGCCCTTAGCAATGAAGCAATAGAAGAAAAAGTCGAGGTCGATGCAGCCTAATCTGTGGTATATGATAGAATGCATAAACATTTAGTTGACTGATGGAGTTGGGTGACAATTGATTTATGGGACCCCAAATACATTGCAGAGGTCGAAAAGGGTAGGACTAATAGGAAACCTACGTCCTAAGTTTATTTGGTCCTCAAAAAAGGTAAAACAACCGGTTGGGGGATGGTCGTAGGCATCCATGGGTCGAGGCGTCGACAAGAAAGCACTGGGCAAAAAAATATCGAGCCACCTCTCCTTGGCAGTAAAAAAGGTGCTCGGTTGACGAGCCACGGTGACCATGTCTTGGGCAGTGGTATCTGTGGCCTCGGGGATAGGTACACCCATGGGGATTTCGTGGGTCGATCGAGGATGTTGAGGAGAAGTGGTCTCCTCCTCATCCTCAGCATCAATTTCGTCGCAAAGTTAGAAAGGACGACTTGGAGGATGGGAGGTGACCAAGGATGGATCAACTCGAGAAGAGGATGGGACGGTTTCAACCTCCAAAGAAAGTGAAGTCCAATGAGTGAATTGCGGATTAGGAATAACAGAGGAGGATTGAGGACTCATATCGCGACCAGAACTGCGGTCACCCTCGCCGGAGGTTGCGAAATCTGAAAAAAGGACAAAGGAAATCGAGGAATCAGAGGAAGGCGGCAGAGGGCGGAGAAGTGCTAGCCAATGGGACGCTTGGTCTCACTAGTGCACGTGGCGAGAAGACGATTGGATGGGACAGGTGCAGACGCGTGGCAACCGTTCAAAATTCAAAATTCAAAAAGGGAAAAACCCCATAAAGGGGCGAATAAAAGCGCAGTAATGACTTCAGAGAAGGATAGAGCTCAAAAAGGCAAAGAACCGGCATGTCAAAATTGAAGCATAACTCATTTCACTCTTAAATCGAGTCATCTTTAACTCGACTAGAGTTAGTCCAGGACCAGATGATATGGTATAACCACACCCGGTCGAATAGACCGAAGAAGCAACCAAGCCAAACCAAGCCAAACCGAACTGGGCCAATCATCAAGTCGAACGGAGAATAAAGATTCCAAAGGTCGAAGAGGATATCGATGTCGCGAAGGATACTAGCAGGTCGAATGAGAGCCTTTGAGGGCCCGGTGGAAGTTCGACTTGAAAGAGCACATGATCGACGAGATGAGTGTAACAGCATAGCTCGAAATCAAGGATACTACACCTCGAGGTAATCGAGGTCGGGCGTACGGTTAGATCGTCTAAGAAAAAGACTAAATGATAAGAAAGAATATTATGGGGATTAAACCCCCCACGTGGCCTAACAGAATTGGGCAGTTGGGGCAGTCTAGGAAACTAGGGCAGCAGGGACGGGCGGCAGCGGCAGTCCACGCGTCCAGCTTGGGCACGTGGTATGCAACTATAAATGGGAATAATGGTCGTGCAGCTCTTCACCAGAAAACACCTCCGGTGTGAGAGTTTTACAGGTCCAAAGGAGCACAACCGGCGATCGAGCTCAAGATCTAGTTGTTTCTTACGATACCAAATAGTAAATGGGAATAATGGTCGCGCGAACTTGCAATTTGTAAGCAACTTTTCTCTAGAAATTGCATGACTAATAGATCTCATATCAGGATTGTTCTAATTTGATTATTAGAAATTGTAATAATTTTTTTGTCACTTAGGTAAGTCTTTGTTTTCCCCTTTTACTTGTATAAATTTCAAAAATGTTCAGATCCAAGCCTGTCTTCTACAATTATAAGCAGTTTTAGATTCCAAAACCAGAACAAGAAAGGAAAAGGAAGAATAACAAAATAAAAACAAAAGAAAATGCAGAGGGTTTAAACTCATTTTCAACAATTCATTAACTAAAATCAGAGTCTTAGTTCAAATAACTAAAGCATTGCACTAATCGAACCATCAAAGCTGAAGGAAATACCAGAATTCCATGCACATCACAACTCTGATAAAAAAAGCTACGGTCGCAAAAGTTGGTAAAGCTCAATACGAGTAAACTGAGCAAATATAAAGTATCAGGCCCATTTATGTCATTTACTTCCCATACCTGAATCAAGTGGCTTTTTACCCTCGCTAGTTTCCATTCGAAGGGAATTTTGAGCCGAACGTAAACCAGGAGTTTTTACCACACTTGCATCATTCTCTCCAGTCGAACACTTAACTAAGCTCCTACAGCCTGCAGCCATGCGTCAGACGTGTTACAATTATGGTAAAAAATCTCTTGCGTAAAAAAGGTATAACAGAAACGAGCCTTAAGAACATTTCAAATTACACGTGCCACTATATCAGGTTTACAGACAAGGATTAATAAATAAATAAAGATTCCGTAGCCTAATACAGGCCCAAAAGTCGGGCAAACAAGAGAATTTCCAAAGTTGGCATATGTTTTTATCTAAATGGAATTAAATTGACATCAAAGCTCGGATTTGGTAAAACTAAATTCGGAGTAGCAAGAATCTTGTATTGTAGATTAACCATTCAAGGTCTGATCTTTGCTAACTATTCAGCACCGATTATTAGTACGGCAACAAAGATAACTATTATAAAGAAGAGTACAGAAAAGATAAAACAAACACATGTCAAAACTTGTATCTCTTTATTATATACAAGATAAGCTTACATCCAAATACACATTCGACAACTAAATCAAAACTTAGATAAGTACCTTTCTTCAACAAACCACAACTTCTACTTCCATCTCCAGCACCATGCAACGTATCCCCATTTCCCGATCTTCCGGTTTTACCCCTAGATTCTTGAAAATTCAGATTCCCCCCCTCCACAGCCACCTTATTAGTTTTCTGGATTTTCATACACAAATCCTTGATCTGTCTCCTGTACAACTTAACCACCTCATCGGACTTCGATTTCTTCACCTTCAAGTCATTCACTGTCCTACTAGCCTCGACGATTGCCCCATTCAATTCCACAATGGTCTTCGAAGCTCCCGATTTCTCTTTCTTCAACTCCTCAATTTCTTGGCCCATTTTCGCCACAAGTGTATCGAGCGATTTACATTTCTCATCACCAACTCTGGCTAGCTGCTCACTTTCCGAATTTTTTCTCTTCAGCCTCCGAGTCAACTTGGCGATCATCCTATTCGACTCACAAACCTTTCCCTTCAATTCCACAATGGTATTTGAAGCTCCCGATTTCTCTTTCTTCAACTCATCAATTTCTTGGCCCATTTTCGCCACAAGTGTATCGAGAGATTTACATTTCTCATCTCCAGCTCTGGCTAGCTGCTCACTTTCCGAATTTTTCCTCTTCAGCCTCCAAGTCAACTTGGCGATCATCCGATTCGACTCACAAACCTTTCCCTTCAATTCCACAATGGTATTTGAAGCTCTCGATTTCTCTTTCTTCAACTCATCAATTTCTTGGCCCATTTTAGCCACAAGTGTATCGAGAGATTTATATTTCTCATCACCAGCTCTGGCTAGCTGCTCACTTTCCGAAATTTTTCTCTTCAGCCTCCGAGTCAACTTGGCGATGATCCTATTCGACTCACAAACCTTTCCCTTCAATTCCACAATGGTATTTGAAGCTCCCGATTTCTCTTTCTTCAACTCATCAATTTCTTGGCCCATTTTCGCTGCCAGTGTATCAAGAGATTTACATTTCTCATCACCCGCTCTTGCCAGCTGCTCACTTTCCAAATTTTTTCTCTTTAGCTCATTAAGCCTCTGAGTCAACTTGGCGATTGTCATATTCGACTCACAAACCTTTCCCTTTAGTTCCACAATGGTATTTGAAGCTCCCGAGTTCTCTTTCTTCAACTCATCAATTTCTTGGCACATTTTCCCCTCACTTTCCGAATTTTTTCTCTTCAGCTCATTAAGCTTCCAGGTCAACTCGGCAATCGTCCTATTCAACTCAAAGACCTTCACACTCTTCAACGCACCCGATTTCTCCTTCTCCAACTCCTGAATCTCTAGGCCCATTTTAGCTTCCATTGTATCAAGCGATTTACAATTCTCTTCATTTTCCAAGCTCTTGCTCTCTCGCTCGTTAACCTTCTTGTTCAACTCACATACCAAGTCATTCTTTTCGATCAACAACTTCATATTGTCGGCAAAAATCCTGTCACGCTCCTCCTTGGCCCTTTTCTCAAGATTCTTTAACTCCCGGTTTTCCTCAACCAGCCGGACAACGCTCTCTTCCAGCTTCTTCCACTTGTTACGGCTTTTCTCCAGCTTATCCTCAAATTTAAACCTCTTGATTAACTTCATACTTCTCTCGACCAGATAGACCTCATTCTTGGCCGAATCACGTTCTATAACGAGACTTTCAATCTCCATTTTCAAGTCGTTCTCTCGCTCGATTAGGGCATTCTGGACCTCGATGAAATCACGCTCGCGGAACGAGTACCTTATGTGTTCAACCAGTTGGGAAATGGGCAAGCTTTTGGAAATAAATCTTTCATCAGAGTCTAATGAACCCATTTTTTTTTCCTGTCACTTTTTCAACCACTTTATGCTTCCTAAACCCACAAAATAAAAAATCTTTCAAAGGTCGGAACTTGGTAACAAAGACAATCACAAAATACATATTCTGACCACATAAAAAACAACTAAAGTAAAACAGATAATGTTTGAGCATTTTTACCGGCGGAGGCGATGTCACTGAAAATCCTCGAACTCCGACCAAAAGCCTCGGATGGTTTGTTCGTCCTTTCTCGGTTTGTAAAAAAGACTGCTTTTTTTTTTTACTTAAGTGAAGAAGGTAAAGGGCTGCACAAAAACAAACAATAAAACAAGGAAACAAGCAATGGAGCTTTGGGGTTCAATGGAAAATCGGAGATGAAGAGCGGGTTTACAGAATTTCAAAGGGTTTGCATTTTTGAGACAATTTGTTGCTTTGTTTAAGTGATTATCTATATGCATGCGTGAAAGAGAGAGTGAGTGAGAGAGGTCGTGGGCGGTGGGCACATTGTTGGCAAATGACAAGTGCGAGGGGTGTGTTCGTGCTACTCAAAGAAAGAAGATGCAGAGTCGCAATGAGGCAGTGTTTAATAACAATGAAACTTTTACGCCCGTCTTGTTTCGCGTAGAGTGAATTAACTCCTGAGCCACGACGATACTGTCAATATGGCGGCCGGGCACAAAACTAGACTGAGTCTGACCAACGAGCAAGGGAGTAAAAGATGCCTCATTTATTACGATTCTTTCTCAACAAGGTCGGAAGAAAAACTCAAACCAAATTATTTCTACTCAAATTCTAACTCAATTTTTATTTAACGTCATTATTATTCTTGATATTATCAATATATTTAAATATAACAACCAATCACTTTTACCCTCGATATTATCAATATATTTAAATATAACAACCAATCACTTTTACACATAATATCAATTTTAGTTCAATATCATATACTCACATAATTTTAGCTAATCATCGCTTCATATCATCTCTTTGCAATTTTTACATCACACCAATTTTAATTATTTTATTTTAAATATTATTTTAATATAAGCTCAAAATTTCCTAACAACTAACTATGATTCACTCAAATTATCATTTAACAAATACACATCTCTCACTCAATTTTAAATATATTTTCAAATAATTGTGTTGTTTGAGTAGGGCAAAATATTTTTTCAACTTATGTAAACTATCTTTTTTTTTT